TGCTGATTTTAGGAATGAAAGTGATAGAAGCTTTTAAGGTCGTGATGAATTGATTTTGCTTTATCAAATATGACATACCTCAAGCCGCTCATTCTAAATTGTCTATTACTTATATGTAATCACCTTTAGACTTATAAAGCTTGAGTATGTTTCTGTTCTCTGGATTTATGACACGCAATGGCCCGGCTGACATTTGTTAGTTGGTGGCAAAAAGTTCATCGAGACTAATTTTCTATTTCACAGTCAGATTTAAACTTCACCATAGTTCATGTTTTTAATGTGAATATTATATAGGTATTATATAGATTCAGGGCCTCGTCTCACGACCTATGAGTTTTGCACACGAACGAACTAATTTGTAAGAGGAAATATTACGTCATAAAATGTACGGTACTCCCACTTTATTTGTCATCTATGACGTAACGAATAAAACTGTCGAAATGAGCTGGGTTACCATTACCTTTTTTTTTAATAAACTAAAAGAATATTGAAATAATCAATATTAGAAGATCAGCAATACATTGAAATAATATTACACAATGTAAGAGACAAAACAAACCAAAGTAAAACCGCGGCGGTGTGGCTCATCGTGCTAAGCGTTAGGAATACGCTCGCCACCGCACCTCTGATTACTCTGCGTGGGTTCGCAGGTTCGAATCCCATGCAGGGATGGTTATGTGCGGGAGGATTGCAGGACTCCTCGCCGTCGTAGGGTGGTTCACGTAACCGCTGGTCGGTTACGGCTTCCTCCACCACCAAGTCCATGCTTTTGAAAACAAATAGATAGATAGATAGTTTATTTCGAAAACTAACTAACTAACTAACTAACTAATCCCATACCCGACATGGAATGGTTACCGGACGAGAGGCCGTGGTTCGCCATATGGTTAAGCTGTCTTATCGGCTTTCCTCTCCCCCGGGATAAAAATCCAATCCAATAAATATAAACAAACTTTGTAGACTCTCTGCAATACCGCCGACAGCGGATCTAGGAAAGAGAAGTATGGTTGTTCGCTACGGATGTTTTTAGTATAGTGCCGCATGAAATGTACAGACTTAGGTTTCAACTCCATAAACAGCATAATAGGCGATAGCATATTTGATAAAAACAAAAGTAATAAACTGATTATAGAATGGATAGCATACAAAACTTTAAGTAAGCTTTGAACGTACAGATTTTAGATTGAAGGGTGTTGTCTCCTAAATTGCGGTTACGGTAGGTACCGTACCGTTAGAAACTGTTTTTTTTTGGCCCTACAATTAGATTATACTGTAGTGTGGGGTGGTGTAGCCAGTCTGCGGACGATTTTATTCAAACCGCTATAAAACAAAAACCAATATTTCTAACCCGCTAATTTTTTCACAATACAGCAATAGGTGCATTGGCATTTCAGCATTTATTTTTTATACCGGAACCTCGAATTAACTTTCTACGACCAGGGGTTGAAGCTTTACAAACCATCAAAGTAAGACACTCGGAAGACGTATTTGCGTATTTCCAATATGCGATCACGGATCTCAAGTCTTGAACATTGTTTCTGCTGCGTCGAGACAGAGCATACGAAGCCATGCGTGAAAAAATGGGTTCTAATTGCATTTCTGACCGTCATATATTTTAACATGTTTTTTTCGAACAAAACTCGTCAAATTATAAACAAAGCACCGCATCACAGCAATCAAACAGACAAAAACATGGCTGCATGGTGGTCGCAAATTGGTCGACAAAGATATTATCGGCGTATTGGAAATGCGCACCCCCCTATTCCCCCTCCTTCAAGTGTAGAAACGCGAAACTTTAGGGATGGTTAAAAGAAACAAACTCTAACCACCTGCCAAGATTCATCTCTTATATTTGTATGGATTTTCAAGCTTTTTTGAAGAGACAATGGGTAGTTGGCGACATAAAAAAATGGTCTGTTTTTTTTTCTTCGGTCGAGTTTTTCGGTCGTAACTTTTTTGTTTGTGGTCGCATTTTAGTGTCATTCGCAGAGCTACGAGGGATAAGTGGACGATAACGTGTGAGAAATATCGTGGCGGTTCGTTAATTTTTTCGGCATTAATTTAATCAATGAAGTTTATGGCCGCAAAGTGGCTAAGCTACCTTACTTGTGTATATTATGTCCGGCGGTATATTAACCAATATCTTGGTCTATTCTGCCAAATGAATTCACTCTTTTATATATACCTCATGTCTTATCATTCTGCAAACATTTCTAATTTTCTGATATCCCACCTATACACAACATTAGGTTTGGTGCTATGCCATCCTAGTAGCCCAAAACTGCTTTGCTAGATCCCTCTTTAAAGTCATATAATGCTCCTTGATATAATATAATTACATTTTTAATTACCGGTAAGTGGTTGTTATGGATCATTTAATTAACTGTGAGTGCGATTTATATTTATCGATGTGCAATAAATTGACAGATTTTTGATACTCCCGCCACCAAAGTTTACGCTTGGAGTAGACTATAAATTAAGGCAAGAATAGAAATAGTTTCTGGAATATTGTAATTGCAGGTCTCATCTTTGTCAAAAGTTGTTTAATAAATCATATCTGCTTCAATTCGCAAATGTCTATTTCTGTACTATTGTAGTATTATTATTTTATATTCTTAAAATGTACTGATTGATTCTTATTTAAAGGCTCAATCAGAATTAGGTATCTATTTCGGAAAGGCACTCCTCTTTTTCTCCAATCAAATTAATTGAAAAAAAAAAACTACCTAAATTATGTTACTGTGATAAATATGTCATTTTTAGAATAAATTCCCAACCCTGATCAGACTAATCCAAAATTTATCCTTGTTCTGATCAGAATATGTTTTGTAAATAGTTTTCTATATACTGATAGTTCAATAAAAAAAGAACCTGTGTCAATTGATAAGATCGGAAGAGAAAATAGCGAAATATAAAGTCAATTACCCAGTAAAAATTGAAAAAAGAAAAATAAGCAAAATAATAAAAATTTTGCCACACTACACTGCCATATTAATAATTTTATGAGAATTGCCAAATTCAGAAATTGGATACCTGGTACCGTTACTGAATTTGTAAACCGGAGTGATATACTGTAAATAGAAAAATATTCCACTAAAGATATGGTCAATCTGAATATAGTTGGAGTCACCTAATACTAGGGATGGGCAATATAGTATACCGAATCCGGAGTATTCGAATCCAACTGGATCCGATATCGGGATTCGGTTTCCGCCTCTCCGGCGCCAAGCGTCAATTTTGGTATTTCGGGTTTATAATTTTTCAATTAAAAACGAGCATTTTTCCTCGCGTGGATATCTCACGAGCGATTTTTCTCGCGTGGAAATCTCTCTCGTTTAATATAACTTGCGTCTGCTTTACGAGTCTTGCTCGCGCGGAATAAAAAGTTGTTTTTAATAGATAGTTGTTAAATTTAATATTTTACAAAGGCCGCATAGGTTGCAGTGGCCACACGCTGGTCCTGCATCTAATTAATTCTCAGCGGGTATGTTTTAGTACACTCGGCAGACTAACATTGAAAATGATTTAACGCCGTTTCATATCTATTTTTGTATTTAACCGCTTACTATTAAAGTGTGTAATAAAGCGGGTCTTAATTTAGCAAATCAATATTTAGGGATTACATACATTTGAAACAATTGAAGGCAAAAAATATTGTAATATTCCTAAATTTTATTGTCCTGGGAAATGCCTGTTCAATATCAAATGAAATCAAATGTTCAGGACATTTCCAAATAAATAATACATTCATAGTAATACATTTACAATTTTTTAACATCTAAATCCAGCCTTGTGGAAATTCTCACTATTTGAATAAGTATGAAAATAGAATAGGATTCGGTATTCTGGATTCGATTTAACTATTCTAGAATAGTAAACTATTCTATATTGCCCATCCCTACCTAATACCAAATTATCAAATCAAAATTGCGGAGTTGTATGTATGACAGGACAGCAGTATGAAAAGGTGGGCTGAACTGCTTCACTCGTCAAATTGAAGACAAAACTCTGAAATTAGCCAAATTAAAGTTCATATTATATCAAATACTATTAATGCTGCAATGGGTTATGGAAATGGCTGACCACCAACTCGATCACAGTGAGGTGTCCGTGTTGTCGATTTGTCCGCCTCCCATGGAAATATATGGGTTATCAAAGGTTCAAGCAAGGATGTCCCATTTAACTGTTTCTGTGTTTATAGACAAGTAAATATAATTGCGGTTGTCGATTACTGGTGTCAGTTCAAATTTATAATGGATGATCCATCAGTCATTGCAAATTATGTTGATGTAATCACTAATTATGTTTAACAATGCTATCTGTTAATTTGATCATCATTTCAGTTACGATTTGACCTTTCTCAGCCTTTGCTTTAATTTGACGGCACACTTTCCAAATTCCAAGAATTTCCCTCCAATTTGATTCAATAAAACAAACACTCCATGTGTTTCACAAACGAGGGACGTCTGGGACGACGACAGATACGTCATATTGCATTATGCTGATCTCAATAATAATATAAATTAATTGCGGCCATCATGTGACTAAAATTGACGTTTTTCTTAAAAATTCTCGAATGCCATGGTAAAAAATTTTTTCCTTCAAAAAATGTGAATATTTTTTCCAGAGGAATTCAATGATTACGTTTTTAGATTGTGCTTCTTTGTAGATTTTTGCGCAACTTCATTATACTGTATATTTACCGATATTGAGGAACAACAATGTCCAGACGTCCCCGAAAGGAGGGGTATGTGTTCATCGGCAAAATGGGATTCTCTGAAACGAGGCAATGCCCCTCGATCTGTATAGTTCATTCATTTATCAGATCATTATAGATCATTCATTTATTTGTAACTCAGTGAAAGATAAGTACCAGTATAATACAGTAATCAGCGTAACAGAGATAAAAATTTTGATAAAAACAAATAAATAGGAATTGTTCATAGATTCAGGAGGACAAATAAGATTTTGAGTAAGGATAAGGGTCTGAATATATTATGACCCAATTCGATAAATACTGAAACAATTTTGTGCTTGCAGGTCAGCAGTAATTGTTCATAGTTGGAGCTGAAACTATTTTAATCTGAGAATAATTCAGAAAAGAAAATGGATAAATTGCCGAATATAATGGAATTAGATGACCCTGATCCAGAATCACCAGACCAACCTTCAACTTCTCATGATACAGAAGATTCCACAACATCTCAAAATGCTTCGCAAGAACGAAGTTCATCTGGCACAAGTCAAGCTTCGGATCTTGGTCGAGATCTGGATTTAATGATGGAGAAAACTCCTAAGTTTACAGATGCACTAGCTGGCGCTGCATCATTTAATCCAAACCAAGGTCAGTAAATAATTTCATATATTATCTTGAATGTCTTCTCCGGGGATAATATTAAATCAGGCTGTAATTTCTTAAAGGTTTTGACAACTCATTTCAAAAAGGCAACAAAAAGAGAAAGCTTGATGATTCCTCATCCGAGGAAGATACTTATTCTACAAGTACAAATGGAAGAAAGTGTTTAGGGTGTTCAAAAATTTTTTCATCCCAATTTATTCCAGGTGAGTTTGTGATGCTTTCTTTTCTCTGTCTCATCTTTCTGTCGTTTCAGTTCCTCCATTGTCTGAGTTTGGTCGAAGCCTAATAAATAAATAAGCAATACAATTGGGTGACTGAGCATAACAAGACATTGAAACGCTGGTATTTTGATGCCAAGGCAAATAGCGTCTCATCTCAATCAGTTTTGTAATTTGAAATTAAAAATTGTTTTACACGATTATTTCAAATATATTGAAGAATATTAAAATGAAACACAATCCCAGCATGCCCTTCAAAAACGTATCAAAACAAAAAGGAAAGAGGGTAAATTGATAAACATTCTTGATTCAGATGACTCTGTTCCAGAATCAAATTTTTTTCGAACTCTAGATTCAGTGTCGGAAGATTCCCGAAAGCTTGGATATGCGATACGTAACATCCTGCTTCTTGATCCGAACCGAGGTTAGTATATAATTTCATATATATCTTGAATGTCTTTTCCGGGGGATAATATTAAATCAGACTGCAATTTTCATGAAGGTTTTGTCAGTTCATTCCAAAAGGGCTAAGAAAGATACTATTTTATAAGTTCAAATAGAAACAACCCAATCCCAGGTTTGTACAGTATTATAAACTTATATTTCGAATGCTCAAAATTTTTTTTATGCCAATTTATTCGAGGTGAGTTTGTGATGCTTTCCTTTCTCTGTCTCATCTTTCTGTCGTTTCAGTTCTTCTATTGTCTGAGTTTGGTCGAAGCCTAATAAATACATAAGCAATACAATTGGGTGACTGAGCATAACAAGGCATATCAAAACGCTGGTATTTTGATGCAAAGGCAAAAAGCGTTTCATCCCAATCAGTTTTGTAATTTGAAATTAAAATTGTTTTACACGATTATTTCAAATATATTGAAGAATATTACAATGAAACACAATCCCAGCATGCCTTTCAAAAACGTATCGAAACAAGAAGGAAAGAGGATAAATTAATAAACATTCTTGATTCAGATGACTCTGTTCCAGAATCAAATGTTTTTCGAACTCCAGATTCAGTGTCGGAAGATGCCCGAAAGCTTGGATATGCGATACGTAACATCCTGCATTTTGATCCGAACCGAGGTTAGTATATAATTTCATACATATCTTGAATGTCTTTTCCGGGGGATAATATTAAATCAGACTGCAATTTTCATGAAGGTTTTGTCAGTTCATTCCAAAAGGGCTAAGAAAGATACTATTTTATAAGTTCAAATAGAAACAACCCAATCCCAGGTTTGTACAGTATTATAAACTTATATTTCGAATGCTCAAAATTTTTTTTATGCCAATTTATTCGAGGTGAGTTTGTGATGCTTTCCTTTCTCTGTCTCATCTTTCTGTCGTTTCAGTTCTTCTATTGTCTGAGTTTGGTCGAAGCCTAATAAATACATAAGCAATACAATTGGGTGACTTGAGCATGATAAGGCATATCAAAACGCTGGTATTTTATTGCAAAGGAAAATAGCGTCTCATCTCAATCAGTTTAGTAATTTGAAAGTAAAAATTGTTTTACAAGATTATTTCAAATAAATTGAAGGATATTAAAATTAAACACAACCCCAGCATGCCATTCAAAAACATATAAAAGAAAATTTCAATTTCTCATGATACAGAAGATTCCACAACATCTCAAAATGCTTCACAAGAACGAAGTTCACCTGGCACAAGTCAAGCTTCAGATAATGATTTTCGAGGCCTGGATTTACTGTGGAAAAAATCTTTTGAGTTAGGAGTTGCACAAGCTGACGCTGCATCATTTAATCTGAACCGAGGTCTGTAAATAATTTCATATATTATCTTGAATGTCTTCTCAGGGGGGGGAAAATATAAGAACAGGCTGCAAAATTCTGAAGGTTTTGTCAGTTCATTCCAAAAGGGCTAAGAAAGATACTATTTTATAAGTTCAAATAGAAACAACCCAATCCCAGGTTTGTACAGTATTATAAACTTATATTTCGAATGCTCAAAATTTTTTTATCCCAATTTATTCGAGGTGAGTTTGTGATGCTTTCCTTTCTCTGTCTCATCTTTCTGTCGTTTCAGTTCTTCTATTGTCTGAGATTGGTCGAAGCCTAATAAATACATAAGCAATACAATTGGGTGACTGAGCTTAACAAGACATCTCGAAACACTATTATTTCGAAACAGAGGCAAAAACAAGTTTATTTCAATCAGTTTCATAATATGAAAGTGCAAATTGTTTTACAAGATTATTTCAAATATATTGAAAGATATTAAAATCAAGCACAACCCCAGAATGCCCTTAAACATTGTATCAAAGAAATGGAAATGGATCAATTGCTATACATACTTGAATTAAATGACTCTGATCCAGAATTACCAGACCAACCTTCAATTTCTCATGATACAGAAGATCCCACAACATCTCAAAGTGCTTCACAAGAACGAAGTTCACCTTGGACCAGTCAAGCTTCGTATCTTGTTCGAGATCTGGGTTTAGTGATGGAAGAAGCTAAAAAGGTTGCACTAGCTGACGCTGCGTCATTTGATCCAAACCAAGGTCGGTAAATAATTTCATATATTATCTTGAATGTCTTCCATTGCAAAAATTTTGTATGTGATAGAAATTCCATTGGATCAACTGCTACTGCAAATATGAAAGTATATACTAGTTGTCGTAGAACTTGAAGAAATTAAGTTACTTACTGGTGGAATTGAGCATTGCAGTGTTTATATTATTGTAAACTTCTCTACCGTATTCATTACATACCATGGGATTTGAACCCAGCACTTAGTTAGCTATATTGCTCTGTTCGCTGTTTATTAAGATCAAGACGTAAACTAAAATCTTTATCACCTGTTCATATGCCTTACCAAGGAATTGCTGTTTGATTGGGTTTGAAAGCCAAGCAACACTTGGAATATACATCCTTTGGATATAACAATACACTGGATTCACCATACTTAAACAGGATGTACAAAATGAAATCCGTACTCCGAGACGCGTCCTAATTCTGGGTCATATCATTTCGACAGCTGGACACAAACGATATGAATAAATCCAAAAGAGACATCTTTGCGGAAAAACAGGTTTTAAAGAAAGTTGTTTGTTCTTTGCTCGCCAGGTTAGGGGGCCTATAACATTGACAATTTTTACGGTACACCCAGGAGGTATAAATCGACGAAGCAGACTATTCTTTATTCGGGTTTGGTATATCGCACCTGTGGTATGTATATCAGGGAAGGTGTGGGCTGGGAGACCAAATAATGCCAAACAGCTGGAAAGTAGCAAGAGTAACTCTGATTAAAAAAGGGAGACCCACCCAACTTAAAAACTGGAGACCAATTTCGAATTTGAATACAGATTACAAAATCCTATCAAACCATCTAAAACAAAAATCCAGATTCCTCGCAAAAATCTACTTTACCAAATATACCTACCAACCTATTATGGAAAAGGTGCAATTACAAAAATAGGAATGAGAAAACACATAAATAAACGACATTTTAAATAACATCAAAACACGAGAACTCACTTGGCGAGGAAAAATTACCGTTTGCAAAACACTTGTTCTCCCTTTATTTATGCATTCCGATCAGGTACCTCAGCGGTCTTCAATTTCTGTTCTTCAAATTCCCATGAAACCCGGAATACATTGAGCCGCTATAGAGAAAAATACTGCTCCTACTGCTGAGAAAGGGTGGAATTGGCATGGTCGGTGTCAAACTTAGGGCTCACGCATGCCTATTTAAAAAACTATGCACCATATACAACATGGAAAACCCAACAGAATCCTGGCATTTCGAGGCTCTGCATGCCCTTGGAAAAATATAAATCCATAAATAAAAAACTATACTCGTTACTCTACTCGATACTGAAAACCGAAACTATGAAACTAAAAATCTGACTGGATCGAGCTAACCGACACATCACTCCACAAGACGTAAAGGATATCAAAAAATAATCGAAGGCTTCATTAAATATATCGCAAAATTTCAAAATAACCTGGGCTTAATCAGTAGTTTTAATCTCCTTCCAAACTGGGAAAGCAACATCCAGAACCACCTAACAACCGCCAACATTCAAACCCACGTAATATTGTCCTTCCCATGAAATTAAAGGTACCTCAAACGGGAGTTTATATAAAAAAGCTAATACCATCAACCATCCAATGGAATGAAACAGGACACACAAGGTAGACTCAGGCTGCCGACAACCGATAAGATTGTTGCAAAAAGACACCAAAGTGCTTACTTGGAGCACTGTTACGATTTGGATATGACATGCTAATATTGTGAATATTGATTCGAAGCAGATCGCAATCTCGTCCATAAAGATATAAAAAAAAACGATAAAATATGTATGTTCTCTTCTTTAGGTAATGGTGTAATGTCTCAAGAAAAACTTTCAGGTTCAATCTGTTTCAATTTCCTGAGATAGGATTTCATTAAATCCTCCAATGTTTCGTTTTACCGCCCGATCTTGATTAAGCGCCCGTTTGAATAGCCGCCCGTGTGAACAGAACATAAAAATAAATAGGGGCCAGTGCTTGAATATCCGCCCGATGTAAAAGCTGATTTTTCAGTGGTAGAGAACAATAGGAAATAAGAAGCGCTTTTGTCACAACGCTGTTGAATTTTAAGCGCCGGTAGATACCACTCACGCCTTAGGCTTCCAAGTACATAACAGATAGCATTGATTACGTATTTGAGATGAACCTATTTTAATTTAATGGTCAATAGTTTTTCCTTATACTTGCGGCCACTGATACGTTTTGAAGGGAATGCCCCGGTTGTGATTAAACTTACTATCAATTCAAGATATTTGAGCCAATCGTGTAAAACTTTACTTTCAAATTACAAAACTGATTGAGATAAAACTGCTTTTTGCCTCTGTATCAAAATCTCATTTATTCAATATGTTCTATTATACCCATTCACTTAATTGTATTGCTTATGTATTTATTAGGCTTCAAGCAACCTCAGACAGTGGAAGAACTGAAACGACACAAAGATGAGACAGAGAAAAGAAAGCAGCAGTTAGAGATGATGATGCGTCAACAATCACAAGAGATAAAACAAATAAAGAAAGAAAATAAGGAATTGAGACAAAAGATAAAAGGTAACAGAATATTTTCAGTAGTTTTATAATACTTGTTTTGTAACTTAATGCAGGCTTAATGGAGCCTCGCTGGAATGCCAAAATGAATTGCATACCGTATTTGCTCGTTTTGTAGCCGGGCCCATATTTTTTTCAACCAACTCACTTTATTCAAACCAGCCCTTATTCAAGCACAGCGTTTGTTATTTTCGATCAGTTCAATAATTAATAAATTGTTATTTCCAGTTCTCAAGTATGATTTAAACTAGAATAACGACAATTTTGACTTTTTCTACGCACCGCAGGTACAAATCCGGAAAAGAAAAAAAGTTTTGCGACGCCCTATCAATATTGAAACGACGCACTTGGGCGTCGCGACGCCCAGTTTGAGAACCATGGTGTTACGTAATCAATGCTATCTGTTATGTACTTGGACGCCTAAGACGTGAGTGTATCTACCTGCGCTCAAAATTCAACAGCGTTGTGACAAAAGCGCTTCTTATTTCCTATTGTTCTCTACCAATGACAAATCAGCTTTTACATCGGGCGGGTATTCAAGCACCGGCCCTTATTTATTTTTATGTTCTGTTCACACGGGCGGCTATTCAAACGGGCCCTTAATTAAGATCGGGCGGTAAAACGAGCTTATACGGTATATAAAATGAACTTGTCATTTTTCTTCACTAGCCTGCAGTTAAGTACATCAAATCAGCATTCAATCAAACCAGTTAGAATAGGATTTATAAATTTATCCTAGGGGAGTGATAAGACGTTTAACCACAGCCTCTAGTCCCTGTTGCCGGCTCATGTTGGGTATGGGATAAATTAGCCAGTTATGTGTTTCAGATGTATGGGACTTGGTGGTGGAGGAAGCCGTAATTGTGCCCATGATTATTTTTCAATTTTCTCTTTTTAATACTACCTGAATCCTATGCTAATTCAACTAAAATCCTGTCCTGAAACTCCTCTCAGTAAAATGATTTTTCAATTTACAGAATCTCAGTCTTCAAGTCAAGCTACTTCATCTGGTCTAAGAATCATCAACCAACAACCACCTGGTGGAAGAATGTCAGTGGAAAGATCACATGAATCACTGCCAGGGTATATTTCAGTTACTCTTGCTATCACCTACTCGTTCCCTGCTGGAAGTCTGAATGTGAGTCCTGTAATGAATTCATTTGGTTTGGATATCAAATTATGTATTTACTGGAACCAAGATTTTGGAGCTTGTATTAATTTATACTCATTCATTTCCTGCCTCTAAATAGCAATTGAATTCTAATTACACTTCTTTAATATATTCACTTCAAACAGAGCTCTGCACAAGCAACCGCTAATGCATAAGAAGCTACTATTTTTTGGATGAACTGTAATGTTTCGTTTTGGAATTGCCAAATCAGGTTATTACATCGTGGATAAGACAGTGGGCATGTGACTTGAACTCTAAAATGAATCAAAATATTTAAATTTTGTTATATTGGATATAGCATACCGTATTTGCTCGTTTTATAGCCCTGGCCCATATTTTTTTCAACCAACTCACTAACCGGGCCCTTATTCAAACCGGCCCTTATTCAAGTAGGGCGCTTGTTATTTTCGATCGTCACAATAATCAATATATATATTGTTATTTCCAGTTCTCAAGTATGATTTAAACGAGAATAACGAAAATGTTGACTTTTTCTACGCACCGCAGGTACAAATCCGCAAACGAAGAAAAGTTTTGCGGCGCCCTATCAATATTGAAACGACGCACTTGGCGTCGCGACGCCCAGTTTGAGAAATATAGTGTTACGTAATCAATGCTATCTGTTATGTACTTGGACGCCTAAGGCGTGAGTGTTATCTACCGGCGCTTAAAATTCAACAGCGTTGTGACAAAAGCGCTTCTTATTTCCTATTGTTCTCTACCACTGAAAAATCAGTTTTTACATCGGGCGAGTATTCAAGCACCGGCCCTTATTTATTTTTATGTTCTGTCCACACGGGCGGTTATTCAAACGGGCCCTTAATCAAGATCGGGCGGTAAAACAAGCATATACGGTATTCTTTATTGAAGGCTTCCGTTTCAAGATTATTCTATTGAAGCATTGAACATGAGGTTATTAAAAAATAGACTTTATTTAACTCTGACTCCGAAGAAATTATCTAAGCAGTTTTTATCTCAGTTATTCTGCATAACCTAAATTTCTACATTTATATGGTGATTTGCACAGACTTTTGTTAGACATGGCCCGATTTTGATTATTCAATAGGGAAGATATCATTTCAGAATGTATTTGAAATAGTAAATTATTTCATTCTGGCAATAAGTGGTGCAAGAATCATAATTTATCTAAGTCTGATATTTGTCTGACTATAAGATACCAAACACCTAAGATGACAACTTTTCAATTTGTCAGGTCTTTTATTCCAAACAAGGCTATGTATGAGCAGCCTCTGATACGTAAGGCACTACTATTCATTGTAGTACTGGAATCTTTCTGGCACCAGTATATGACCTCTTACGCCAACAAAAGTTCAACCCAATACCATTTGGCTACCTTATATAATGTAGTGAACTTGACCATTGGTCATGGCTTGCCCCTGGATTATTAATTGCATGGCACCTTCCAAAGGTGTCCAATAACTGCTTCAAAATTGTCACTGTGCACCACGATGGAAGTCGCAACGCCACTAGGTGTTGCCCCAGTGTCTGAAACACGATAAATTGCTCCTGGTTAATGGGGAAACGCCATCGATTAAATCCCAGCGTTTCGTTTGCCTTGCCCTCGTTCATTAACGGCGCTTCGCAATGTCTTGCACCTTGTGGGTAGCAAAACACCGTTCATTATATTCCAACAAATTGCTAACGAAAAGCTGTTAATTATTTTTAACGTTTCCCTCGCCTTGCGCCTCGTGGATAGTGAAACGGCTCAGCTTTTCGCTCGTGTCGCGCCTTGCTCGTTGGATGAATTCGTCAAGACTAAAAACGAAATGCACTTCTTGCGAATGGACCTTTCCCCGACCCTTGACCCCAGAAAAATTCTAAACTAAACTGAAGCTTACCGGAAGACATAATGAAAATTAAAGGACTTCATTTACAATTAATTTTTGGAAACAGAACTAAAAAATGACTAATTTAATGCTGCAAATCGAATTTAAAATTCAAATGTCGCGAATTTCAAATACTGTTTTTTCATGTTTATAAGAATCCCGAATATGGCGCACATATCCTAGCATCGTCGTCCATGTGTGGTTCGGCAATATATTACAGCCGACATGAAAGAATTTCGATAAGCGCCGGGCCGACTTGAAGAACTTATAAGACATCGAGGAGGTTTTGATTGAAAATATTTTCTTATCGTGTATTTTAACTTAGTCGAGATGGTTTAGGCGTCCTCGACAAATTGTGTCTTAACTAGTTGTTTTCATCCTCAGTTTCGATAGTGACCGAACATAACAGGAAATTTTTCATTTTTTGTAATTTAGAGCGTATAAAATAGCTTTTAAATATTATTTATTAATTATCTATCCTGTATTTTATTGGCATCCGGTGTTGATGACAACATCGTTCAGTTTAAGTTGGCGGTATTAATTTACAAGCAAAAATACATAACAGCCGACATGAAATATTCAAATCAGTGCAGAGTCCAAAAATAAAACACGTTTTACGGCCTTAATATACACATAGAAAGAAGAAAGGACAGAGAAATAACGACTAAGTATGGTATGTTTGTGTACAGCGTCCGCGCTGATTTAAAGTTTTCATGTTATGTGTTATAATTATGATTATTAATCAATACCTCCAACTTAAAATGAGCGATATTGTTATCAGCGCTGTCGGGATAACAATAAAATCTCCGATAGAAACTAAATAATATATAAGAGTTATTTTATACACTTTAGATTGCAAGAAATTAAAAAATTTCCCGTTATGTTCGGGAAAGTCATGAAAGTTATTGCCGTGCCACTCATGGCTGCTTTCGATTACGATAAAAAATGAAATAATTGTAAAATGTTTTTAAATCAAAACGTGGGCGGTGGCGGTAGGATATGTGTGCCATATTCGGTATTCTTATAAACACGAAAAAACGATATGCGAATGTTTCAATTTGAATTGGACATCCCTGCATTAAATTAACCTAAAATAAACCAATATCATCACACACGTTTTTTAGTGTTCAGTTTTCGGCCTTTCATATGTAGAAAATCTTACGTTGGTCGAAACAGATTTTCAGAGTTTCTACTGCATTATTATAACATGAAGATGGGCGGCAGTAAATTGCGTCAAGGTGAGAAGCACGAGAGTATTCGTCACAAGAGAGAGAGATAGCATGATGCTATCGTCTCTTTCAATTTGCATCAACAGGGCGCGATTTCTACTTTTTTGAGGAAACATATCTCATTTTCGAATACAAACATATACGCAGGGATAGCCTCATTATTAGATAACTAACAGCAATAAGGTATGATCGAAGTCGGGCGGTGTTAAATTACGTCGAGGTGATAAAGCACTGGGAAAAATTAGTTTCTCACCGGAATGTTATAACCGTAGAACGACGTTGGTTGAACGTAGAACCATATCTAAAAAAAAGAAATTTAAACGGGAGACACGACCCCCGGGAAGTCCCTGAGAAAATCTCGTTGGCCAAATTGCAATGCATCACTATATATTGGTATAGTTTCCGTAGCCATTGGTATTTCTCCTGTAAATTTGCTGAAAGATAAATGTCTTTACTCCTAAGTGAGTGTGCATGAGATTTTACAAATCATCAAACATTTACAAATCATGCTTATGAAACTGAATGACGTGTTATGTTTATTCTTGCAGGGTGTTTCATATGAAGCCATGGAATTCACTGAATATGTGCCTGATGTTGGATTTCATATTTTAAAACGATTCCTCAATCTCACAGACTTGCTCAGGAAAGCATTCAATGCAGGATTGCTCTTCAAGATTCAGATAATTGAACGCAACAGAGGAGAGATTATATGGAATGATGAAATTCCTCATAAGACTAACAAACATGGATGTGCAGCTAAGTAAGTTGTTTAGTAAATTCTGGACAACTTTTGCAAGAATATAATGGAAACTTAAGTAAGGTATCTCCTATAAGTCTGTATTTAATTTCTAATTCAAGAAGAATTTGAGATTTGAGACCCTTAAAAAATGTGCATTGCAATTAGGATTAACCAAAGCAATATTTATTATCCAGACTGACCTTCTATACAAAGTTAGAATAAATATACCTCTGTGCATGAAATCATGATTTGTATGGCACAGTCATTTTAATATCTCACGTATAAAGCAAAGAGAGTATCGATGCCATAACTTTCCATCCAGCTTTTAGAATTAGTAACCATTCAGCCGCAGATATCTAGCCCAAGGTTAAATCAAGTATTACATTCTCATCATTCATTTCTTTGTTTCAAGCAACATCTGATTTTTTCAATCCTGCTCTTTATACGCCTTTACTCCGAACAAGCAGCCACTGTTGATATCTTTCAGTTGTAATATTTAACTCTAATGGGCCTGGAATGGTTCTTAAACACCTTTCACTCTGAACAAGGCTCCATATATGCAACCACCGCATCCATGAATTTTCATTTGATGGCCCTGGGATTATCAGGAAGGGTTCTTTCTATATTGACCAGGATTTGGCATGCTAAAAAATTTAATTCTTTTTGCACATCAAATCCTTACATTCAAATCTCACTCATTGCTAAGCATTCCTTAGTGCTAGGAGTTCCATTATCAAACATCAGATTCTCTACAGTCAACTAAAAATCAGAATCTTATGCAATCTAAATAATCTAATCTATTTCAGCAATGGATATCCTGATCAAGACCATATTTTTAAACTCCGTGATGCATTGAAAGCGAAATTAAAGGCTGAAGGAATCAAATTCTAAGCGCAATGGTCATTGTGCACAACACAAACAATCTTAAAAGAAAACTCATTATTTGGAACGTTACTGTCTTTATCGGACATTTTAGCAGTGAAGGATAATAGAGGCCACTTACTGGATTTTAATAAGTTCAATGATCTGCAATTTCATTCAGATTTGACTCGGAAAATTATCATTTTCACATACTCATCATTATTTTTTTCAAGGTTTCTCATTCTTTAGTTCGGGGTATCAGCCAACAAAATCCTCGCTATTTTAATTCTGGCAAGTCTAGTTTGACCAAAACACTGAGCATTCATCTATACTTATCGCGTGTCTGCTTGCCACTTGACCAGATCTTTTCTGGTACATCAAATTATCTGCTTTTGATATACTTTTTAGTTCTCAATTTGATGAAACTTTCAAGGATGAAACAAAATTGATAATTTTGTAAATTTAGACTGTTGTTCTAAGCAAGTTTATGGACACTTTTAATTAGCGAGCATTTTTGAAAATATTAAGTCATTTGAAACACTTCCAGTTTCCCTACTAAATATGAATAATTGTCGGTGTTAAAATAGATCTGTCGAATTGACCTATGATGTATATATAATTGATATATCTCTGCCTTTGACTTTTTAGATCCATAGTGATAATTTCACTTCTATAAGCGGGAGTCATAATATTGACTAAAATTAATCACTGCAAAGCCTATTTAGCAGTAAACCTATCATTTAACATTTCCAACCTTGTGTTGGCGTTGTGCTATTAGCTATTTGAGTTGACACAAGTTGGATAGATTGTGTTAAACTGTGGTGATCAACAATACACATTTTTTTTTGTATTTGTATATATCCTTTCAAATTTCAATTCAAGGTTTTCTTCAAATCAATTATTACTTCAATACATATTTTTATGCTTTTTTGTAAAACAATTTACCGGTAGCAACCAGCAATTTCAATCCAGAGTTTTCTTCAAATCAATTATTACTTCATTATTGCACACACTAATATGCATTTCTTATCACCTTTCTATATCTTCGCATCATTCTGATTTCATAATCTATTAAATATATTTTTCTTCCATTCATTTCTGGTGATATTGGCTTACTGTAGGTAAAATTGCTAAATCCCCTTCCCAACAAACTGATTTCTGACAAATTGTAAATACAAGAGCTGCTGTGAAGCAGATATGTTATGCAATAAAATTTCTCGTTCTGAAAAGCAGGGGTGACAGAAAATTCACAATATCACCTTTGAATAACATATCAGTAGTTGCGATCAAAATTGACAAGAAGTGACATATTGTTATTTGTTAATATTTTCAAAATAACTTGCAGTAGTGTAAATTCCATTTTATATCTATCTTTCTATTTTAATGCAGGCTATTTTCTCCAGTATTATGCATTTTTTAATCATGCTTGCCTCTTCAATCATATGTAGTTCTATGCTCTGCTTATCTTTTATCTGTTATATTTCAAGTTTAACTCTTGCCACTGATAACATTGACTCACATTAGAATATTCAACTTGTTTTTTTGTACAGTTAATGTTTATCATTACCCATTATCAATAATAGTTCTCTCACAGTTCATTCATCTTACTATTGGTGCTACCCCTATGCTATGCTAATATACATTATGGGATTGCTTATTTTTTTTTACGTATACTCTAACGTGCAACTATGTATATATGCAATGTTCTAACACACTTTTGTAAAATATAATACTAATTTACTGCTTCACCAACCTTGTTGTTGAATATCATGAAAGGAATGTATTCATCTGGTGATTCGAACTCTTTACAGACAATCACTGAGTAAATAATGCAGTAAGTCGTCTGTCAACGCGTTGCAACAAATACCTCCACGGTTACACCCGCTCCAGTAACTGAAGCTCATTTCCGCGATTACATCCGATTTTTAGTTGAAATATTATAACTGCGTTTGTGATTATGTCACCAATAAACAAAATTTATTGTCCCGCAGCGTTCGCATTTCTGACATATTCGCTTCAAAACATACTCGGCAAAACATACCTAAAGCAGTGCTCTTCAACCGGGTCAAAGTGACTATAACAGTGGTTCTCAACCGCCGGTGCCGGTCCGCCAAATATATTCCAATATAAATATATTAATTGCAAAATACAAATTATTGACTTTATGTCTATTAATTTTATGATTTTTTAACTCTTATTGATTCGTAGTACCGGTATTCTTCTAACAACCAAACTTGGTGAAAGGTCCTCTGCCCATTTAAGCCCTCATACATGGATGTTTGTTGAGTCTATGATCTCATAACGGCGGCTAACGTCCTAACGGATGAGTTTAATAGCACATTAACTTGCATGACATTAAAATCACGTATTTATTCCATGTAATATCGACAAGAAAATATTGGAGCATCTAGGGCAGTGGTTCCCAATTTTTTTTATATCGCGGCACACATATCACAAAACACGAACATTTTCTACTCATAAAGAGTGCGATAGTCGAACGCGAACAAATGGTTAATAGTTACCGATATTACAACTGTTTTCTTACATTAATGTAAACGAGAGCGTCTTCGGAGCGCCTCACATTGTTGTAAACGTTGCGCGACCGCACGGGTAATACGTGGCCTTCAAACGCGCCGCCGATCACGCGCTTGGGTTTTGCTCGTCGTTCCACGTTACGCCCTTATTATTATCACATGTATTGTCAATTTTTCACAACTTAATCCCTTTATGTTACAATTCAATAAGTTTCTCTCATTTCCAAAATCATTCAATAGTGTTATTGTCGGTACTTGCGAGAGAAATGAAAGAGGCAAATAAACTGTATTTCATTACAACAATTAATTATTATCGCTGAAAACACTAAATAGGTTTAAAGTTGTTATAAACAATTTTCACCGATGGACGTATCTTTTCACGTTATGAATTTCGTGCAAGGCCCGGGCATAATTCGATGACAAAGATCACTATTTCGAAACGCTTATTCGACTTTTCAGACTGCAGAAACTATCCGAAAATAATAACCGTTTTCGTGCTCGATATATGAAATAATCGTCGATTCCACCACGCTTTCGTGAAGTACCTAGTGCAATTTATCAAATCTATGAAGGTTTTATTGAGTTTCATTCAACGACTAACATACCATGATGCGCAACTAAAGCCTTGACCAATGAGGAGTGTCTGACGCGATACGCTCCATTGCGGCAACTTGATTCGTTAACGCCCACTCGAGTTCCCAGCGTTTTGCTGCGGTTTCACCATATCTGTTGGTCGCGTCGGACTCTCGGGCTGTAGTTATTATATAATCAGTGGCTATTATAGCTAATAAAGGTAAGTCTACCATTTCTATACGTTAGATATATACTATCAGTGGTGACCGTACATTTGAACCCATGCGTATATCCACGGGTTCAATCTATATATATGCGGGTGCTAAAACCCATGGGTGAGGGTTAGTATGGGTTTAACTATCCGTGAAACAAAAAAAATTCCATAGGTGCAATAGCATACAGGTGCAATTGTCCTGGGTTCAAATGTAATGGAACCACTATCAGTATGTTTCCATTAGCGGTGACTATTCAGGGAGCCGAGTTTAAATCCCTGAATCAGATCCTGAATTTGAGGATACATTTAAATTACAGTTCTAAGAACTTAATGCGTTTGAACTGATCATTTCTGTAAGGACCATGAGATCAATAACAAAAAGACACCATTTTGTGCCTGCAACTAATTGAAAGCCTGTGTGAAATGTAGGTGCGGCCCGCGGTTTAACCCGGTTATTGATATTTGGCCCGTCTGCGAAAAAAGTTGCACACCCCTGCCTTAAAGCAAGCAATCTAAGCTGTGGAGGCCCTTGTTAGGCTTCCCGCTGCTTGTCAGCAGGGAACCTATTGTATTCCTGTGTTTTATTATTAGGCTTCCCGCTGCTTGTCAGCAGGGAACCTATTGTATTCCTGTGTTTTATTATTATTATTTATTATTATTATTATTTATTTATTTTTATTATTTTTTTTTCAAATTGGTCCTACAAACTTGAAATTCACTTCAAATGTGCAGAAGTTCTCAGCTAGCAATAAAATGCAAATTTCATGCATGACTGACCACGCTTTCACGCTCCAGTGAGCAAAACGCGTCTTCAGTTTTTTTGCGATTTCTCAAAATTGATACATGCTATTGGGTTGAAATTCATAACAATGATTAATGGACATGTTCCGGATACGATATGTCAAGGATACGCATGAGTGACCTCGGCGATACTTCTCGAGAACGACACTACTTAGAGACTTGAAATTCACATCACATGCAGATAATAAGTCCCCCATCATAAATTGCAAATCTTATGCATGACTGACCACGCTTTCACGCTCCAGTGAGCAAAACGCGTCTTCAGTTTTTTTGCGATTTCTCAAAATTGATACATGCTATTGGGTTGAAATTCATAACAATGATTAATGGACATGTTCCGGATACGATATGTCAAGGATACGCATGAGTGACCTCGGCGATACGCTCCAGTGAGCAATATAGGATTTTACATTTTCATCTTCTTCTCGAGAACGACACTACTTAGAGACTTGAAATTTACATCACATGCAGATAATAAGTCCCCCATCATAAATTGCAAATTTTATGCATGACTGACCACGCTTTCACGCTCCAGTGAGCAAAACGCGTCTTCAGTTTTTTTTATGCGGGAAGCCTGTTAAAGCTGCACGCAGCTCTAGTTTATTTATTATTATTATTTTTTTTTTTTCAAATTGGTCCTACAAACTTGAAATTCACCTCAAATGTGCAGAAGTACTCAGCTAGCAATAAAATGCAAATTTTATGCATGACTGACCACGCTTTCACGTTCCAGTGAGCAAAACGCGTCTTCACTTTTTTTGCGATTTCTCAAAATTGATACATGGTATTGGGTTGACATTCATAACAATGATTAACGGACATGTTCCGGATACAATATGTCAAGGATACGCATGAGTGACCTCGGCGATACGCTCCAGTGAGCAATATAGGATTTCACATTTTCATCTTCTTCTCGAGAACGACACTACTTAGAGACTTGAAATTTACATCACATGCAGATAATAAGTCCCCCATCATAAATTGCAGACTTAATGCATGACTGATCACGGCTTCACGCTCCAGTGCACATAGCATCATTTTCAGTTTTTTTCGCATTTCTCAATTACTATTGAATATTAAGAACTCAAACTTGGTATTTGAGGTCGGTTGATCCATGGCTGCATTACGCGGGAAGCCTGTTAAATCTGCAAGCAGTTCTAGTTCAAATTAGATCTCGAAAGGGACACTTCAAAATGTTGACTTGTTGTAGAACTGGAATTACTGCTGCCAGTTATCCCCTCACAAATGATCGATGTTCAAATAATATGCAGGATATTTGATAAAGTTGTTTCTTTTACATCAATATTATTTAGGACTTCCGATGTTACACTAGTCCAGCCATGATAAATTGCACCGATCTCCAACTCTGAATCAATGTTTATAGCTAAACTTGATTGCTCTGCAGCTGATTAGGGCTTGAGAAAAAATTGAATATTGTCTTCTAAATCCTGGTATTGCCAGTTGGAAGGTGAATAAGTTGATGCACTTTTTTTCAAGTCTTGCAAATTTTTATGACATATTTTTTCAGCTACTTTCCTCTTTCTTGGAGAAGATCTATTCAAAGTTGGCGTTCATCTTGGGTATTGCACCAATTCTAAGACGCGACTGTGAGGCTTTGTTGGATATTCCTCTCTTTTATTATGAAACTAAAATCGTGAAGTTACTTTTTTGAATGTCATTTTCTTCCAAGTGCCCTTCACAAATTTTATTCGTCACATAAATACAGGTGTTTAATATCAGAATCAGCCTGCAGACCAAGCACATTTTTTTCAATTTTGTCTGCCCATATAAATTTTTAACCGGAACAAAATCGCTTGGATGGTGCCAAAAACACTATCGCATTGTGGAACGCAACATCGATTACTTATGTTGATGAGTGATGTAAATGTAAATAAATAGCCTATAATACAAATTATGCAATTCTAAAAAAAAGTAGCCTAAAAGAAAAAACGAGTTGACTTTGAAAAAAGGAATTGGTACTTTCTGACTTTTAGAGTTTGGTGAATACTATAGTGCTGGTATGTTAGTCGTAAGTTATAATAGTAGAATTATATCTCCTATAGACGAGGGGGTATGTAACTAAAAAGATCGTAACCCAGTACCGGACTCACAGAACATAAGAAATAAAGTAACCTAGGCCCTAGGTTACGATAATCGGGTAGAATATTGCAGTATTGAGGTGTTTCATAGAACGCCAAGTTACCTGTACCTACGTTGTCTGGAGAGAGAAACTACTAGTTTCTACTAAGCCAAAGGTAAATCTAATCTATCTTTGATTACACTAAAGCAGTGTTTCCCAACCCGAGTCCGCGGTCTCAAATGAGTCCGTGGAGCGTTTGAATGAGTCCGCAACGAGCCAGAAATTCAGCCACGTTGCAATTTACGTTAGAATAAACATGAAAAATATGTTTAGTAACATAAAATTAATCGAGTCAATATTTACTGGTTACTGAGTATATCTGGGCATATATTCGAATATTCAACTATTAGAATAGCAATTTACTATTCGAAAATTTGGTAACAGGTGACGCTTAATCAGAGTATATCCGTGGGTTCAATCTATATGCGGGTGCTAAAACCCATGGGTTAGGGTTAGTACGGGTTTAAATATCCGTTGAACAAAAAAAAATTACATAGGTGCAATAGTATGCAGTCGCAATTGTCGTGGGTTCAAATGTAATGAAACCGGTTTTCACAACTCACTTGCGGATTTCCGACGAGAACACGAATCTGCACACGCTTCGATAAATACCTAAGTGGTATTTCTCTCGAGTTCTCATAACGAGAAATAATTTTTTTTCTATTTGGTTTCAATGGTGACAACCCAAATTTTCTAAATTGAAAAGCGGCAATACAAAATACTATGAATAACACGAAGAACACCATAAGTTTTGTTTTATGATGGTCCGCGACCGATTAAAAACGCTTTTTAGACATTGCAAATAGCAAAATTTTGAATACTACCGTACCAGAGCATTTTCCCTTAGGGTTCTTTGATTTACTGCTTCCACATTGGTACGTACAGTACTGCCGTAGGTGTTGTACAAATAGCTCAGATTTGACTTAGTCGGGCACGTTAGCACGCATTTTAGTGTTCACGGATTATCATCATATTTTCTGAGTACTATTGCTTTTATTTCGTCGACACAACCGCAGATTAAAATGATCACAATAAAATTAATAATAAACCATGGCGATGAATATGTATTTTTGATTTACTAATATACTTTGAATATATTTTAATAAGTACTAAATCAAGTTGTACTTTCTAAAAATTTATAGCAGATAGTAGGATTTTTCTAACCGCGATAACAAATTCGCAAAATCGCAACAAAATAGGTATTAATCTAAGTATAATCGGGCAATATATTCTCACATTATTATGTTCACAGATTGCCATTGTATTTTAGAGAAGTAATGCTTTCATCTTGTTGCAATTCGACGCAACCGCGGATTATCATGAACACAATTAAGTTAAAATAGGGATACATCTTAAATTCTCGTCGTTGTCATGGATTGAATATTGTGCGACAGAAAAGGCCATGGTTGAAATTCATTAAAATTCTGTTATGTTGGGTTTTGTTGCCTGTTCACACAGAGTATACGGTTGCAATAAACGCAGCTTGAGTCCGCAAAGGGTTTGCGGTGAAAAAATAGTCCGCGACCAAAAAAGGTTGGGAAACGCTGCACTAAAGAGACAGAGCTTAAGATGGACAAAAGGCATTTAATATTTTATCCACATGAAAGTACTGAACCAACCTAATGAAATACCATAGGCTGCTGAGCTAAGAATATACAGCGAGATATTTTGTGCACATACCACCGTCTTGACCAATCCCCGAGCAAGTGACCGCAATGGAGCGTGAAGCTCCAGAAACTCGTAACGCGAATAAATTTGTTTGTTTTATTAATGTGGGCGTCGCTTTCTAGGCTAGTTTCATCCCCCTGGGTTAGGGTTTCCAACTTCACTCGATAAAACACATAGGCCGCGAGCCGAGGCCATTTATCTTTCAGTTTCGTAGCGCACATAAGGTAACTACCTGAAAATGATTTTAAAATGTTCGCTATTTGATTAAGATCTTAAAATAGCTTATAGTCTAACTTAAATAGTAAACATCACTGACGATTTACAATCTACATCAGCGATATGTCGAACTCAAAACTGACATGGCTGCTTTCAACTACATCGAAAAGCCGAAGCCGAAACCTCGTCTAAGCAGAAGCCTACCAGACCCTGGCCTCTCCCCAATAGGTCCTGTTTCATATCAACAAGAGGGACCTAATTTTCAAAAAAATCTACAGGAAGCAATCCAGAGACAAATAGAAAGCCAACTACCATCTCTAATCACCAAGTACCTTGCTGAGAACTTCAATACAGCAAATCTTACTTCGGAATACATACCCCTAAGCCCAGGCCTTAAAGAATGTATGGAAGACCAAATCCAATCTTTAAAGGAAATAAAAGAGGACATTGCCTTAATCAAGGAAACCCAGAATTTTCAGTCGGATATGTTCGATAAATTATCCGCAAAGCAGAAATTTATGGAAGGAAAAATTATAAACTGTGACAAAAGAATAAGAGAATTAGAAAGATTTGGTTTATGATCTTGAGGAAGATCTGTATTATGCCACAGAAAAAATGGAGGAACAGGAAAGGCGCTCTCGACTCGACAATCTAGAGTTTCATGGTCTTGCCCCAACTGTGAATGAGGACACAGATAAACTAATAATGGAAATAGGAAAACTGATTCATGTAGATATCAAACCATCTGATATCTCAGTTACACATCGCAGTCCCACTCACAACTCTAATATCCACAAGCCAATAATCGCCAAGTTCACTAACAGAAAAATCCGAAGCAAAATTCTTAAAAATCGCAACCTCATAAGAACTGCTTCCAACAAATCACCTTTAACCAATTTATCAAAAGCTTTTTATTGTGGAAAACTTAACAGAAAAAATAAAAACCTGTTCTATCAAGCTAAGATCCTGAAAAAACGATGTGGGTACGCCTTTCTTTTGGACTTCCAATGAGCGAGTGTTGGTGAAAAAAACCAGGATACCAATACCCTGTCGATATCAGATGAAGAAGATCTGCAAAAAATCAGATAAGTTGATTAATTGTAATTCCCACTGTAATTTTCTATCTATTGTTATTTTAAATCTAACTCTATTGTTGCTATTAGGCCCCACTTTCAATGTAAGCCCTTTGTTAACAAGTTTCTGTGTATACTTTTTATTCACTTATTCAATACGATTCAATGTCTACTGTCCCTGATGTACCTATATATTGTTCCAAAATGAACTGGGAATCTAACAATTTACATCATCATGTTAGTACAACTCACTGTCGATACCTCGAGTTAAACGAGATCAGTGAGGTCTCATCTAGATTTCTACCATCTGACCTTATTTTGGTACACTTCAACATCAGATCTCTACCAAAATACATTGACCGCTTAGTCGAATTGACATCAAATTTTCACTATCTCCCACATATTATTGCGCTAAGCGAGACAAGAATTAAAGCTGGGGGAATGGCCGAAAATGTCGACATCCCAGGATATAACTTTTTATATGTTCCTACTCCTACCCAAGCTGGTGGTGTAGGTTTTTATCTTAAAAGCAACTTAGATTACCAGGTGATCCAAGAATTTGATTAGGATTTCCAAATTGTGAGGACTTGTGGTAGAGATCAAACTTAAACCTCGAACAACCAGAGATTTGTAGTTCCTGTCATTTACAAACACCCCAAATGTAATATACCCTCATTTTCTGGAGCAATGCTCTTGTTTTCGAGAAGCTGGCAATGGCGAAAAAGAGGTTTGTAATATTAGGTGACTTCAACATCAACCTACTTGACACCCATGACAATCCCACTGCTAAATATTTGGACATGCTTATGTCCTATTCCGTATTGCCTGTGATTACAAACCAACTAGAGTCACATCATCCACCCACACCCTCATAGATCATATCTATACAAATAACATAGGTAATGTCTCTTCATCATTTATTTTGCTTAGTGATATTACTGACCATTTTCCTGTAATTTGTACAATCTCTGGTTTAAATGTTTCTTCCAAGACAAAAACTCGGATGAAGCGAGATTGACAAAATTTTGTAGCGACTCTTTCAGATCTGAGGTCGAGTCGATGTGTAACAACACATTGATACCCGCTCTCTGTAAAGCAATTTTAATTTCTCTTTCGATTCTTTCCTTGGCCAATTGAAATGGTTAATCACAAACATGCCCCACTTTCGACTTTGCATCAGGGGGCGTCGAGAAGATAAAATTTGTACTTGAAGCCTTGGATACCTAGGGGGATTCGGCAAGTCCGATCAACACAAAAACAAAATGTTCAAAAAAAAATTTTTAAAAAGGAAATTTACTTGAGCGTCTTTACTTTAAAAAATATTAAAAATATCTTAAAATCATTTGCAGAGAAACATCAAAAACAATTGTATTACCATAAAATCCCAAAAACAAACCAGAGGTTGATGTAAAACACACGTGGAAGCTATAAATGAAATTATCAAAATCAAGTCCAGAGATGATACCCCCATCTCAGAATTGAAACTCGATAATGGTACTACAGTCAGAGACCCTGTCATGGTGGCTAGCGAATTCAATAAATTTTTCTCAACAGTGGGGAAGAAGCTTGCAGATAAACTACCTCATAGCTCAAAATCATTCGCGTACTTCTTGGGTGCTCCTCTGCAAAGCTCTTTCTTTCTTGAAGTAACTACTCCTGCAGAGGTCCTCCAAATGATATTGAATCTAAAAAAAGGAAAAGCAATTGGGCCTGATGGTATTCCATCACACTTCCTAAAAATAGTTGCTGATATCCTATCACCAGTGCTCAGTCATTTTTTCAATTTTTCATTCAAATTGGGTATTTTCCCTTCCTCTTTAAAAGTTGCTAGAGTGAAACCAATTTTCAAAAGTGGTAAGCATAATGACCTTCAAATTACCGACCAATCTCCATCCTCTCCTCTATTGCCATTATCTTAGAAAAACTTTACATAGCAGATTGATCAATTTTTGTACAAAATTCAACCTGATCAATAAACGTCAATTTGGATTTCAAACCAATAATTCCACCAGTCATGCTATTTTAGATCTAACATCATTTATTTATGATAAAATTGACAAAGGCGAATTTGTCTGCTGTATTTTTCTCGATTTAAAAAAAGCCTTTGACACTGTCAACCATAGTATTCTTTCCCAAAAACTGAGACACTATGGCTTTCGAGGTGCTACAGGCAAACTATTAAGCAATTACCTTTCGGGTCGATTCCAATATGTGGAGGTGGATTCTCAGCAGTCTCCGATGTTGCCCATTCATCACGGAATTCCTCAAGGTAGTGTGTTAGGTCCTCTTGGTTTCTTAATTTACATAAATGATCTGTCTAACTGCTCCAATTTCTTGAGCAAATTGTTTGCTGATGATGCTTGCCTGCTCTACAGTGCAAAAGATCCGAGTATTCTCCAAGACAAGGTGAACACTGAAATGAATAAAGTATATGATTGGATGACTCCAATAAAACTTCTGTGAATATACAAAAATCCAAAGTCATGTTATTCGGCCACAAATCTCTAGCCAGACATGCGAACATCTCAATCAAAATTACAGGATATCCCTCTTGAAATTGTTTCACTCTTATAAATACCTTGGCCTCACTATTGACAATCAATTAAAATGGAACTTTCATACCAATGAATTGCATAAGAAATTGTCAAGGATCAGTCGGATCCTTAGGGAAGTTAAGGCATTATGTAAACGACTCGACTCTGCGAACAGTATATTTGGCTCTTTTTCAATGTCATATCAATATGCCTTAGCTGCATGGGGTTCCGCTACCAAAACAAACTTTGAATAAATTAGAGATTTTACAAAATAGGGCTGTTTAGAATTCTTCTGTAGGGCATCTATTCGTTCTAACCTGAATATCCTATACCACAAGACCAGGGTTCTAAAATTGTCCGACATCTATAAACTAGAGATTTCTAAACTTATGCACCAATTTAACAACAAACCAATTGCCCCCAGCTTTTGCTGACTATTTCGTCATGCTTTAGTAACGTGCATGAGCATAATACACGCTCATCGACTAAATCCAATTTATTTGTCCCTCGATTTTCATCAAGCAAATGCCAAAACTCCTTGAAATACAGGGGAGTTGTAATTTGGAATAGCATAGGTCAAAGCCTTCGTCATTCATCTTATGACACCTTTAAATTTAAATACAAAAAAATTCATGCTTTCCCTTTACCATTCTGCTGCCTTTTCATCCGATTAAAGTGGATCCAGAACTTTCTTCGCCATTGCCAGCTCCACTGTCGACTTGATCCAGAGTACCTGAAATATTTCATTTTGGAATTTATCGTGTAATCAAACAAATATTCTTACCTATGTATGTTACATGGACCCAGCCTTACAAAAAGTATTACTGTATTTTTAATTTCACCCAATATATCAAAGGGCGAGCTTTTTGCTAAATATTGACCTAAATCAAAAATTTTAGGTATCATTCTCTTATTAAATGACAATTGTCCTGCTATATGCATTTACAATCAGTCATGCTTCCAATGCAAAGCTCATATTGTCTTTTCTGACCATGACCTCTTTATTACCTATTTACTACTATGAATTGTTTCTTTTTACATATTTGATTCATCTCTGATTGACCCACTGTGTGAATGAGAGGATATCATGTAAGAAGAAACCATGCATAGTTCATGCACTGTGATGTCATGTAAAATAGTCAGTTATATATTGGTAATATTTGAGCCTGATCTAAGTTACTAAGATCTTGGTCTCTGGCACCCTTAATAACATCATTTTAATGTTAAACCATATTCGATTGTAAATTTTTTATTTTTGTACATTTGGCATCGTTATGTCATAAACTGACTGTACCTTTGCTTTTTCCATGTTCTGTATGAAGTGGTTAGTTCCACATGAAATTTAATCCTACCTTGATCTTGTAGAATACCATTTATTCATTGATCATGTGCCTTCCAGTTACACACTGAAGTTCAATTTTCTTACCATAAAAGGTTAAATTATTTATGACTACCGGTACTACAGTTGCATGCATACCATACTACTGGTAGGCTTCCTGTTCGTGAAACTTCATTTTTACCATTGATACCTAAACAACTGTAGCCCTGCACCATACAATGTTCTACATACGACCACAGTCACTTCACAATGGTACCATTGTTACTTTGCAGCTATCGTCATGGCTACTTAGATAATTGGTGCACGGAGTCGTTTCTTGTTTTGTTGTTGTTGAAACGCGAGATTACTGGGCATACCTGGTTGGAATGCCTTGACGTATTTATATTTATTTTCAAATTAACGTATATATGATACTGTATATACACAGTTCGACTTTTTTTTGTTATTATTTCCTTGTTAGACTTGCTTATGGGTGCCGCTGCTCGATAACCAAATTTGGTTTCTCGCGGCTCCCCTCACCCTGAAATGCCTTTTTATTTATTTATTGCAATTTGTATATCAAGTGTGCATTTAGTATGGTGAGAAAATAAACTACTGATTACTGAAATAGGTACGGTGCAGTAACTCCAAGGAAGGCTAGACCGAGAATAATATGTCACAAACAACGATATTTTCTGGCTTGCATGAAATGTTTATGAATAATTTAATGACTCTTCTTGACTATTCAGCAGACTTATACTACTATATAGGCCACAGCATATTTGGAAATAGAAATTAATGGCTGTTTCTGTAATGCACGGTTGTGTGAAAGAGAAGAAAATAATCAATTTTACTAATGTCGGTTGGTCTAAATCTAAATTCATAGAGTCGACAAGAACCTGGGAAGCAATGATAATTTATGCCGGAGTGGAAAGAAAGTAGCATTGGAAACGATTGAGAGGTGAGAAATCAAGTTGTAGATAGACAGTTGATGTTTTAAAATATAGTCTATAGCAGGGTTACCATATTCGAAAGAGTCAAATTCCGGACATATTTTCATGAGACGATTTTTTTTGCTTTTATGACGTCATAACCGCATATTTGACCCATGCGAGGTGCAGTCTGCCCAATTATAAAGTATGTAGGACAGGGGTCTCAAACTCGGCCAGTAAGTCACTCAGCTCAGTTAGAATGATTGATGCATTTGATATATGATCAGGACAATTAGAGCAAAACAAAATATTTTATAATCTATCCCCCGAAAGGAATATGTGGTACGGTAACCTACTAGTACCGTACCTGTAGGCATGGTATTCGATAGAACTTTGACCCCGAAGAAAATTTTCTTATACTTCACCATTGCAAATTCTTGGTGCTGATTTTAGAGGTGGCTTCGCGAGTTGAAGCTTATAAACTGGGGTATATGTTTCACGTCATCATTTTGATTCAAAACATTCAACAACCTGTTTTTCAACAGTACCGGTAGAGAAGTTTAACCTAGTCTATCACAGCTATTTCTGGACTAGTTTTTGATTACGGCCATTAAGCTACGACGCCCAAGCAATCAGAATGTTGTTACGTCACTTTTTGCGTCTTGCTGATTAGCACATGTTACGGAATAAACAAGGAAGTAGATGCTCGGGGAAAGGTCCATCGCGATATTACTTCCATTTATGTTTTGCATATAGAAAAAACAGAGAAAAAGATTTAACTTTCTAAGTTTAATGATTTTATTGTGAAAAACCCGATGCGGCCCGGACTCACTAAGGCTCCGTTTCGCCGGCCCCCAGTTAAATTGAATTTGAGACCCCTTATGTAGGACTACCTGGAAGTATAATATTCGCATTTTAAACGGATTTTTCTTTTCGGTGGACCTATTCTTGAGCAGATATATTGCAGCAAGTTGCATAATGGTTGCACAAATTAAAAAAAATCGAAAGTCGGGAAGGGGGAGCAGGTTGTGCACCGTTGCCCTATATTTAGCTACGGACCGTCACTGAAAAAAATCTCAACTTTATTCTCAAATAATAATGACAATTAGGTTGTGCCGAACAGGGAAAACGAAAATTACATGCTTAGACCAAATTGAAGACACGCTTGTAAGTCAAGTTACTACAAATTTACTCTTCTGACCATGCATATTTTTCTGAAGAACTAATTCTCCTCAATAGGGCCTTGTCTGATTTTAAAAATGAAAAAAATTCACTACAGCGCATATTTTTGAAATTATATTGAACAGTCAATATGCCTTTCATGGTCGCAACGTTCAGCTTGTTTCTCTCTTTAGTCCACTGACTTTGCATCAGGGAAAAGAATCTCTCTACATTGGCATTGTGGGATGTAACAGCAAAGAAAAACTGTACAATCCTTAAAATTTCTGAGTGGCATGTGATGTTCGTAGACTGATCGAAATATTTGCACCTTTTCTTATGCGTTGGCATTTTAATAAATTCTTCGTCCTGTACGTAACTTTCCACAAACTGCCTCAAGTTACAGATTTGGTCAAAGCACTTTGCATCGTCCACATCAACCCCTTTGCCAATCAGATATTCCAGGCAAGGCTCTACATCCTTCCTTCCAACTTGGTATCTCGTTCAAGGTCATTCATTTGAAACAAGTAAACTCTTCCATTGATTTCATCCATTTACACAGGTACTCCAGGCATCTCTCATAGAGGTTTGCAACTTCGGAAAGAAAATTGTTACATTCATCTTCATATCCCTCTCCTCTTTTTTCATTTAAAAGCCTTTTAACCGTCAAGGACAAAGAGCTTTCATTCTTTCTTTCCACAAGCACCTTATGAACCAGCTCCAAATTTTCTAGCACTTCTGCGACGAATTGTTTTCTCTCTCAACCACTTGAATACGTCCATGAAACACGGACATCAGTGAGTGCATATGCCAAAGGTATAATTGCTCATTTCATTCTCAAAGAACCGTTTAATACCTATTGGTGGATGTTCTTGTGACAAAAAGTTGTTCTTGTGACAGAAAACATTTCTAACAATCTTGAAATTCCAGGAAACAAGGAGAGCAAGCGAGTCAGCTATGAGAGAGAAGTCTCTTGTATTCACAATTTGCAAATTCATAGTATTCTTTCAGTTGTTCAGTTCTAACTGTGTAAATAGAAAAATATTGATATATCTTATTGGTATTATTTTCAATATCGATGTTCATTCTCTCAGCCCCATGATGAATACAATTGTTCAAAACGTGTGCTGGGCAGCCAACCCCAATCAATGACGGGTTTAACATTTTCTTTAACTTCGCAAACACATTGTTTCCTTGGTCATTACGCCGAAGTCCTCCGTCTCCTGTAAATGACACACATTTTTTCAAAAGCATCATTTTTTCTAATGTGTCTTTTATATAAGTGGCAATTGTGTCGGCAGTCTCGTTTGTCTTGTTTGTAAACTCAATCAATTTTGATTGCAAACCACCATTCCTCCAGTCAAAATATTGAATAATTGTAGGGAATAATTTCAGTTCATTGTGATTGCTGCCATCTGTTGCAACGCCAAAATACGCGATATCGTTTTCTTCAAAACTTTTCAGAACAGCATCAATTGAATACTGCGCAAGAACGCTAGTAACAACTTTTTCTGTCTTTGTGCGTAACAGCGTGAAATGCAAGCGTGCCTTCTGCGGCAGTGATTTCATCTACGCATTTGCTTCCTGCTGTAGCAAAATAATTTGTCATTTTCGTTGATGCAACAGCCCCTCTTACTGCTTTGCGATGTTTTTCCGATTGCAGATGTGTGTGCAAATCACCACTACCTTTGTGCACGATAGATATATAAGTTCCTGATTTGCAAACCAAGCATTCTGCCTCATAATCATTCCTGCCTTTTCAAAAACATGGATGTTTTTCTTGCAACTCGTTAGTGAATGTGCACTTTCTTTCAAAATTAGCCATTTGAAATAATATCTTCTTACCATAAATACAACCCAACTAAAAATACATAATCTAAAAAACAAAGTAATTTGCCACCAGACTAACTGAACCAAAAGGCTATAGTGACTATCACTTTCGATCCCGAATTTCACAAGTAAAGCTTTGTGGTATAAAACTTTTGTATTCAGCTAACTTAATAAGGGACTAGCACTAGTAGCTATCAAATACACTTGCAGCTGCTCAACGAAACGGCTAAAAAGTCAGATAATAATAATCAGAAATAAACGGTAGATAAATGTGGCAAGTAACGACTAAATAAGATATCAGTCCGTCAATCTAGGCTAAGCCAGTCAATCAACAATACTTAGCAAAGCTACTCAGTATAATCCAGGCAATAAACGCAGCCAGTCAGCAGTCAAAAATTCTGTATCAAAATTTCACTAGGCTTCCTCCTCTATGACATTTTAGGTTAATCTCTGATTATATGTGCGAAATCGCCTGCTTTTATAGATGGAATGTTCTAGTAACTTTCGCAACATGTGATCTATATCTAACCAATTCATATTCAGCACAACGGTCAATAGGTTCAAGAAAGGGGTTCTCGACCTCTTTCCTGTCAAGTTTTTTCTGTCAACGCGAACCCCCGGTAATCAGACACCGAACAAAGTTATGATATATTGACTAACAATTTGTTGCAACAACAATTCATTGACCTTATGTAACTAAATTAAATCTTCGTGTTGATATTATTGCCCTTCTAATGAATTCTTAAAAACTCCCCCTAGTTCAAATAACCATAATCACTTTCTCCAATGCTCGCAGTACGCTGTCTTTAGAGATTGCACAGTTTGCCTACAGACCGGTGAATTTCACCTTGTTGCGTCACAATCAAAACAACGCAAGACCAGGGAACATAAACGTTTCAATTGGCATATATTTTCAATGGGCACGCATTTTCCTCTTGTAGTAATGAAGGATATTGATAAACAATGTTCTGCATTAGCAGTGTTCACAGTACGATTGCAGATGCAGTAAAATTCCGGACATTTGAGCATTTTTTTAAATTCTTTCCGGACGCAAAATTTAACCCTAAATTCCGGACATGTCCGGAATTTTCCGGATGATATGGCAACCCTAGTCTATAGTCCATACTCATACTGTCATAGGGCATTTCAGACTGTGATATATCAAAATTTAGTGTAGATTTAGTCTAGTAATGGTATGCAAACACTGCTGTACTGTAGTACATGCAATGAGCATATATACGCTCATTGAGTACATCAGATAAAATGCATTATGTATTCAAGGTATTAGTTAGTATTTAGTGGTAATTTTACACTCATGCTGTTCCAAATATGATTTTCTTCCTCATTTTAGATACTGTACTACAAAAGAAAACGGCAATGTTCCACCAATCCGACCTAACGCAGGCTCTAATCCCTGCTGCTATCACCTATTAGTGCTATAAAATGGATCTTGAAGCGTAAAGGTATATGAGAATCATAATAGTTGCAAACAGCTTAGATGGGCTATTCATATTAAAATACTTTAGCACTTTTCTGCAATTGAAACTGCCCATCAAACTCATGTTGGAGACTTCATTGAGGTTTTCAATTCATTTTTTTCT